CTTCACAGTGAAGGTTAATGCAGATATATTGTAAATTACACAGAGGTAACATTAAATATACATTTCCCTTCACATTCCCCTATATTATATAACAATCTTTGAGCTGAGGCAGTTATGGTTCTACAACCATCACCAGTTCTTTTGTAATCTTTTGTTTTGTTGCTGATCACTCATTTAGTTTTCTTTTCTGTTTGAACTGTGTGATTGACAGAATCATAAATGATTTTATCCATATGATGTAGTGAAAGCTGTCAGGCTTACTGCTGATCACAAGCTGCAGTGATCCTCATCTGTTTTCTGACCTTGACTGGAAACTCTTTATACTTGCTCTGTTGGTTGACTGTGTTGTAAATAGATATGCCAATTCTCTTTTTTTTTTAGTGCAAATTTTCAATCATGTTCGGATTCAACATCTTTTGTGATATAATAGTTTTGATGTCTGTGTTTTTAGTAGCATAAACAGCTGTGCTTTACAGTGACCATTTTTTTCACAGTGACTCTATGCATATTTTTATTTTCTTTACAGTTTCACCAGTCATTTATTTTGTGTATTCACTCAAGGTTAATAACTGGATAATGTGATATTTCACCATCACATGGATGTACACAGTCCATCCTTTGAATATTGTGTTCAAAAGCAAATCATACAATGTAGGTATCAATGCAGAATATATGCAAGTAGTTAATAATCTTATGTACAGAGTGAAAACTGTCTCTCATGATAACAAAGAATAATGCTGTTCAACCTTAGGTTAGTAGGTCCATGGAGGTACTAAGTACTGTAATTCCATGGTAGGTCCATGCATGGAAGGTAATAGGAGAGAAGAGAGGACGCTATTGTTCTCCAAATTCATGATCACTTCAATTTATTTACCTGGTAAACATTACATGAATACTTTCAGGTCATCACTGATGTGCTGCGTTTACACAACAGCATTTTATCGATGGCTCAAGCCAGCAAAAATTATCATGGGAAATAGCGAACAAAATTATGGGACAAAAACTTGAAAGGATGATCTAATGTAAATTGACGGAACTTTTTAAAGACATCAAAGATAAAAATCGTAGAAATGGTCATGGTATGTCCAAATTGATTACATTGATTCACATGTGAGGGTGTCCTTCTTTCAACAGAGTGCTAATGCTATTTACAATCATTTTAACAATTTTTTTAATAAACACTTGAAACCATGCACAAGTTACATATATATAATAATAAAACCATAATATTTTGTTTTATTTGTCATAAATGAACAAATTTTGAATGAACTATACATATATTTAAATGAGAACATAAAGCAACCAATCGCGCCATGCGACCTACCGTCTGAGATACCTAAATCATAACACCATTGCATTGTCTCAGACTCGTGACTGTTTCTTTTTTCACAGGATTGAGGATGCTGTTACGTTTAGCCTAACAAGGTTACGTGAGTTGCACCCTCCGCTGTGCTCCAAACCCGACATATGCCTGACAGAACGATGTAGTTTTTCATTTCCCGCCAATGATTTTTTGACGGTACCAATCAAATTGCAGGAACTTCAGATAATGACAGCCATCAGATAACAGTCTGTGATTTTTGTTGACAATGCAAACATGGCTTTGTCTCCCTGTTTATGAGTGAGCATCTGCATAGAAAAGTCACAGTCTGTTGCAGCCTGATAAAGTCGTGTAAGTTGCGCCCTCTACTTGGTGTTACAATGACCCCCCCCCCCCAAATAAATATTCGTCGAAACTCATTGCAAGAAGGCGTGAACTTTGCGAATTCGCAGTATTGATCTTGCCAACGAGACATACACTATTCTGTCAGACGTTACTAGTAGTGGCCTACATGTCAGTCTATGTTACCTTCAGCTCTGAACAAGCTGGATTGAACTTGGATCTCGGCTCTCTTTCGACCCGACCGTGTAAACATATTGGAGAAAATCTTCTGTTAATCAGTGGGAGGAGCAGTAGTCCCCCCCCCCCCCGATAGAATGCTGTCATGTGAACAAAGCAATGGAAGCAGTCAGAGTTTTATATGCAGATAGATTGGTACCAAAATCCCGTAACATGACTAAATCACAGATCTTTTGTTTTGTTGAGTAAAGAAGCAAAATTGATTATGTGTTGAAACCAAAAAGTTAAACAATGGTGATACAGCTTGAAACACTAAAAATAAAAGCTATAAATGTGGATTAAAAGTCATACTCTCTCCTGTCCTACTCCATTGTTTTGACGCAATCGACAATCAGTAGTTGACAACTCATGGCTATTGTAAATGTCTTTTTATTTTAATAAAAGCACTCAACATTAACAATGTTTACAGGTCTATGATAACCAAAACTGTCTCTTAATTCAGACATAATGGTGAGAGAGACAACTGTATTACTGAATTTATTTTCGCTATTTTCGCTGAAGGAAACCCGGATGATTCCATGAAAATAAAATCCAGCAAATATACTTTTTTTCCTATATTTCACATTAAACTCATCAGAAATCAGTGAAAATAAATTCCATAAAAAAACGCCCAAAAAGCCTTCTCAGCGAAAATTAATTCCAGCGAAAATAAAGAATTCCACAGTAGTATAATTGTACCATTCAGAGACAAAACACAAATATTATTAGATGGCATCTATACTAAATATTCGTAATCCCAGTAAACTGAGAATAATGGCTCGGTATTTCCATAATCCATATTTATTTTTCCTCAAACATTTTTTAACCTTTTTTTCATTTTCTCTGAGAGTTGTTAATAAAATATTGACAGCTGACAATACATAACAGTTATTAAACGAGTGAAAATTGATTGTCAACTCTCAATTACTTTGGTTTCCATGGAGAGATGTAGAGTCCCGTGAACATATGTTAACTTGTTTATTACGTAACATTTTAAGGATGATCTAATGACCTTGGCACTGAAATCTACAATTTATTTTGTGGCTACTAAAATATAGAATGATATAAATACCTCAAAGAAAAAACATGAAATATGAAAGAGTACAATGATTTTATCACCATCATCAAAATTCACTGTCACATAATTCAATTCACATGCCACGATCGCTACTTACCAACAACAGCGCTGCGAAGACCTCCGTGTCGCTTTTCGCTGCTCGTAAAGCCGCTAAACACCGATCCAGACACGGGACAGAGTCCTCGGATAAACCATCAACATCTGCCATTTTCACATGAATCCTTCAAACACCACTGTAATCAGCGGTAATGTTAAAATCACAAAAGTGAGTTAAATCACCGAACAGAAAATGAGACTACCTCTTGAACTCGAAAACATGTGTTCAAATAGATAACCTTTGACCTCGACGTTTGTGTGTGGTTAAAGAATGTTCGTAACTCCAGGGCAAAGTGCGCCGCCACACTGTTTGGATCGACGCGATACTGATAGAAGTGGACTCGTACCATAGCTTTACATTGTGCTAAGAGCCCCTGACAACAAGTCTGATACTGGAATACATCATATAAGTCAACTTATAAGCAGAATAATTCAATCAAGCTTAATTAAAAAATGTCTCCTATATTTATTCTTCTTATATATTTGAGTGTCAATATAATGTAATTAAGTTCTTTATAAGACGAAAAAGAAAGCAAAGACCACTGCAATGAACAATTTTGAAATTTTTCAAACTATGTTATCAATCAGGGTCTTTATGTTTTCCGATGGCAAGTACACATGCATATAGACATGATTTTTGTGTAGCTTCTTGGGATAGAAATTACTAAAACACAAGTAATGACAATGCCGCGTCTCAAAAAGTTGTAGACAAAACTGCATTTACTGTCTCCTTGGGAGCCTTTGTTTGACAGTGCACAGGGTATTCAGAGCACAAATCTTAGCCTGTTAAATATTCCTTGGTTGAAAAAAAAGTATATTTTGACACTGTTCAGAGCTGTAGCTCGAAAAGCAACCAGGACAGTCACTTTTCCCGTGTCGAAGCATATGCCTGAGTCTGGGGCTTGGACACTTTAGTCTTATCGTGTGTCGTGTTCAAATCTAGTCTTTAATAATGTCTTGGTCCGTTCAGTAAAGTCTTTGTATACTGTGCTAATGGTCGAACAAAAAATATATATTGTTACTGGTGGGGTATTTTTTTTAAAGTGACAAAAATTGCCATTTTACCATTGTATTCCATGGAATTATTCTAAATATAGATATTTTTTATTAATATTTCACAAACTACAGGACTGTAGCACTGTACGAAATGAGGATGAGCAATATATATTCACGTCATCACAGACTGTGACGTCATTAATAATCAAGATGCGAGCGAATTTCAATCCCGTCTGTCGATAGACACTAGCATTTGCACTATATCTGAAACAATAAGTACCTTGAAATGAAAGAGAAACCACATTCATTTTAAGAGTTTTACCACTACACTTCGCGTCAAACTGCCATTATTATGTTCATTGCGTTCATTTCTTCACATTTGCGTAGGCTGTATCTGATTTCTTTTTGGTAAAATTATTTGTTGATCTCGTTGATACACGAAACTATAAACACGCCTCTCTGCTGTACCCAATATCATTACTACTGTAACTGTGACGATGCTCAGTGTACTTATTAACACTGACATTCTCTTGAACAAATATATTTCGTGTATGTGATATGTGTGTGATTTATGATAGAAAGTGTTCCAAAAAACGTGTAATAAAATTGAACCCCCATTTCCATAGTCGAAAAGGCAGAATGGAGAATTCGTCACGGCCCGGACGATTGTACGTACTCTGAGTCTCTTTTAGTGTTATCAGGCCAATCACAGTGACGGCTCAAGTTGAGAACATACAAATGAGATATTTCCAGTGACCATAACGCACATTCTCCAACCAAAAGAATCGACAAATTAACATAGCACAATGAAGCGAGTTATTTCACAATCAATCACACTTTTTATTTAATATATTTGTTTTCAAATAAGAAAACTAACCCGAAATTCAACACCTGCAACACAATGAAAATGTCAACTTATGGTATACGGCAAGCAGACGTGGTACGGATCGCTCAGTCCTGAGACTGGAGTCTCTTTCGAAATAGATGCATAGACACCATCCACTCATTGCCGTCTTCATAGCCGAACACCACCGAGCAATAGATGAAGAACAATCTCCAATTCCATACTTGTTGATCAACTTCACCCTTTCCATATGTCTTCTCGAATATACGCGCCACCTCGCCTCTGTTATTGTCCAGTATTGCCAACCACGCCTCCAAAGTCTTCGAGTAGTGTTTGCCGTTCATTTTCCACATGTCGACAAGAACCACATCATTTTGGAAATACAGGAATAAATCAGAGGAAGGCATGGTGCCTCCGGAGAAAAAGTTCTTGGCCATCCATTCTGTATCGGAGCCCTTGCCGACGTTAAAGTTATAGGCGAATTCTCGGTGACAGAGGATCTGGGTGAACAGTAGTCCACCAGGCTTTAGCCAGCTGGCAACACGGGAAAACAAACGGTCGTAGTTCTTCATGTGCTGAAAAGGCAGATAAAATGTTTATTATTATGTTATAGTTAGTACATGTACCTAAAATATATCAAAGAGACCGTCGACAGTCTAATTACGGTCGAATAACTATAAAAAAAGTCATGAATAAATGGGGAAACACTATGGCTATATTTATTTGACTAAATTCATTATGGTCGGCGACGTGCGTGGTGTAAAATTTCGTCCATTCGCATAGTGGCAATATATTAGTCTTAAAAATACTTTTAATTATTGCTAATATCTACGACAATTACTTCAATATATGCGATTGCGATTATAGTGTACTAACACCATAACAATATAAATAATATTAATTTTAAGAAGATTCTAAATTGGCAAGAGAGACGTTTTTGCCCCCACATTTTCTGTTTCTTACTGAGTAATCTCACCTCGAACATTTCTATAGACATGATACGATCGAATCGTTCTTCGGTGTCAAAGACATTGGCATCGCTCTTACGAGTAGTCAGACGACCGGAATAACCCAGCCTCAGTGACTGTGACTGTATATGCTCGCTCTGTGTTTGGGAGTTAGATACACATGTCACTGTGCAGTTGGGGTATTTCTCACAAATCCACAATCCAAGTGCTCCCCATCCACAGCCCAAATCCTGAAAAAATAACAATGATTCAATTCACAAACTTATTCAAATTCATCTTTTGAAAATTGTACAAATCGACTAGCGTCATTCAAATATACACTCAAGTTGATACATGCATGCACATATACACATATCACATCTAACACATCCTGTACAATTGGAATACAAAATCACATTACATAATTGCTGATCAATTACACATACAAGAACACCCCCAAAAACGCTTTAATGGCAAAAATGTTAAAATAAATATGCATATACTTAAACTTCTATAGTTCTGAAAAATACTAAAACGTATATCATAATATTGACAATATAATATGGATATCAAGGGATATGTGTGAAGCTATCAAATTATTTTCCAGATTTGACCGATGCCACATGCATGTTTTAATGGATATTCATGACAAGTATGTCCAGTTTTGGTAATGTGACAGCATGAATACCTGATTTCTTTTTTATTGCAAGGTCATACCAGTTATGTCAGGAAACAAACTAAGTAATTCAAGCCATAATCATTACTTACCATGACATTATGACCATCTTCTACTTGTGCTCTGGCACAGTACAGCTCTAACATAGCATCTTCAGCTGTTCAAACGAAATATTATAAAAAAATCATCATTTATTTTTAAATGTTTAGGCATAAAAAAATCAAATAATAATATACCATCACTGGTACATAATTATTAAACAAATTATTCACAACACATAACAATGCGTTCATAACATTGATATAATGATTTGTTTTAAAATGTTTAGAATTGTATTTAAGCTGTACATACATTGGTCCAATGTCTTAACGTTAACTGGCCAATAGGAGCAGCTGTACTTTAAACGTGTCCCCAGAACCTGAAAGATACAAAGAAACATTATTCAAAACGCAACAGTTTAGCTACTAGAACTATCAGAGGCACTTTAATGGTTCGGTCGGGACGTGCGTTCCTTTGGCTTTCAAACTTCGTTACTCGTCCCTGAATATATGAAGCAAGTTCAATGTCACTGGTATTGATAAACTATGTGAAGAGTATTTGATACGCACTAATATATATTCTACACAGACATTCAAGTGAATTTCGCTGTATTTGAGAATAATATTTCAATAATTACAAGGTCATTGGCTACGAACGAGAACGAAGACATTTTTTGGATTCTAAAATTAATTAGTGTTTGATTGGCTGAAATGATTACGACTACTACGATCACCAACCAACCAACCAATCGATATAACTTACTGTTTTGAAAAAGTCTGTTGGTACTTCATAATGCTGTACGTTGGCTGTATCGGTTTCTATGGCGATCGCTGACTGTTTCAATTTGGATATGAATTTCTTCTTATACTCGAACTGTGTGATAGTGTTTCCGTTACATCGTAGCCTTTTCAGCCATTTGCTAAGGTTATGTCTTAGTGCTATGTAGGAAAGAAAATTGCTTGGTCATGTGGTAAGGGCGGAGCATCTGAAACACTAGCAGGATTGGAAAAGAGTGTTTTGCAATTTCATGGTACATGTACTATGACGCGATATTATATTTTATCGTGACAACGACCTAAAATAATGCCATCATCATAGTCACCTACTCCCCAAGCTGACATCCCCAAGCCACCCCAGAATTCAAAGTGATCTATTCCTAAATTGAATTAATGGAATTAACCCGAAAATGAGATATTTGTAGAAATAAACAGCTCTTAAACTGCACATTTGCAGCCATGCATGCCCAATATTCATTATATTACAATTGAACATTAGTTACACTATACGGAAACGCGTCTCTCCTATGCACGCAATTTGGGTATATTTTAGGGTTGTTTATTCCATGCTGTTGGGCATGTTTTAGATCCATGGAAAATCGTCTGAAACACATAATGCACGATTGATTGCAGGCTGAAAGTACTGAAACAAAACATTATACGTATTGCACTGTCCGATAGCGGGCGCATTGCGGCTTAATTCCCAACGAGTCCGTTGTGTCGTCACTGAAAGCGCTGTGTGGAAAGGATGCCTGGTAGGTTCCTGCCCGCGCAGCCGGGGTCTGTGAGGCTGGTGTAAGTTGACGTGACCATTGATGTATACCAGTCAAAAACGGTCAGCCGATTGGTCCTAATTATAACCCAATACCCTTCACAATTTGAGTCGCCATGTCGGGTTCAACACACTGTACGCCCGGGGTAGGAGTACGATGCCGAAGAACACGCACCGGAGAATGTGTTTACTTTACTTGAATTGATTTGGTAAACTCTCCAGTCTATGTCACCCTCCTCACTTACCTATTCGTATTATCCAATCTGCAAATAGATTATAGACTCGATGACCGAGAATTTTAGTTATAATAATCCCCATGCTCCAGACCAACTCGCCGTAGAATAGACTCTGAGCACAGAGGTCACTTGAGGTCATTTCTACACAATGGTGTTTAACTTGATACGTCACTACTATTCAAATTTAAATATTTTTTTCATTTGAAAAGTCCATTATATCAAGCTAATTGTTCGCTAAAACCAGACTGATATCAATAATTAAAAACCACCACTATTAGGGTTTTGTTAAGATGTCATTATAGCTTCACATTACCACATGATAACGTTAACCTCTTTCGCAAGTATGTTCATTTTAAAAATAGAGACAAGATTTAACTACATTTGTTTAATTCTGATGGTGACGATTTACAACAACCCCGAGAACATATTGTCTGAAGACAATAACCCGGATTTTGGATGGAGTGCTCGTGAACCTGAAAACTGGATCTAATAAGATAGAAATTGAGGGCGCTTTTTGGCTAGAAAAATTGCGTTTTTCGCTAAAAAGAAATTGCCCAAAATTTACTAATATGAACTAACTATTAAAATTGGGAGTCAAACAGATCGGTTCGACCTTGAAACTGGGGGGGGGGGTCAAAACAACGGCACATAACCGTATACGTCAGATATAGGAATACTACGAGATCAATAAAGATTTAATGCTGTGTAATAAGTCTACACACAAACATTTGTGTCCGCATTGTTCAATTAATAGTTTCCCTTAATATATTACCGGGGGTAGACTTACGGACAACATACATTTTGGTTGTTTTGAACGTCCACATTCAGTAACTCAAACTCTAAATAACAGTTAACCAAACTTCGAGTTACGGGCAACATGATATATTTTTTGTTTTCTTTAACTTTCAAATTCTGTAACTCGAACATTGATGAACACTGAGTTATTCAAACTTCGAGTTATTAACTCAAATTTTAATTAACAGTTAACATAACTTCAAGATACGGCAACAAAGATTGTAGTTATTGTTCAAACATCCAGATACCGTCTTTCATTTTTGACCATGTAATAAGCTTCAGCACTTCGTGTACACCATATGTAATATACATTATTTACACGAAATTCATACACACATTGTATGTTAATAAAACTTATTGATCAGCCAACATTATTGTACTCTGTGTCCACACACAAACAATTGCCATAGATTCCTCATCCAATATGCAGCTGTGGGACATATTATTGTTTAAATAACTCAAAGTTCTGTTAACTGTTAATTGAACATCGAGTTACAATTTGTGTGTGTTTTCACAAAAGAGGGCGTGGTTTTAAAAATATGAGCGGGGTCATTTCCCTAACACGATGTTCGTAACTCGAACAATTCAGCATCTCGTATACACAGGTACATCGCATTGAACCCTTATTGAACACGAGGCGGTGCCAATACTGTTTACTTTGCAACAAATACAATTCCACAAAATAAATAATATCAAAACATACAATGCAATCAAATAAAGCTTAGACAAAACTCTAAGGTATTGGGTGACTGGCCAAAAACAATATCTGGGATATTTAAACCAAGAATTCGTTGAGTATATGGATTAATCCCATGTACCAAGTTTCATTGAAATCTAATGATTTATACCAGTGAATCCATGGAACTACAAACAATACCTCACTCCACTTATGCCTAGGTACGATGCTAGTAATATCCAATTCTGCAGCCTAGAATCTATGCAGTTTTCCACTCACTTCACTTATGCCTAGGTACGATGCTAGTAATATCCAATTCTGTAGCCTAGAATCTATGCAGTTTTCCACTTACGCCTAGGTACGATGCTAGTAATATCCAATTCTGTAGCCTAGAATCTATGCAGTTTTTCACTTACTCCACTTATGCCAAGGCATGATGCTTGTAATATCCAATTCTGTAGCCTAGAATCTATGCAGTTTTCCACTTACTTCACTTATGCCTAGGTACAATGCCAGTAATATCCAATTCTGTAGCCTAGAATCTATGCAGTTTTCCACTTACTTTACTTATGCCTAGGTACAATGCTAGTAATATCCAATTCTGTAGCCTAGAATCTATGCAGTTTTCCACTTACTCCACTTATGCCTAGGTACAATGCTAGTAATATCCAATTCTGTAGCCTAGAATCTATGCAGTTTCCCACTTACTCCACTTTTGCCTAGGTACGATGCTAGTAACATCTAATTCCGTAGCCTAGAATCTGCAGTTTTCCACTTACGCCTAGGTACGATGCTAGTAATATCCAATTCTGTAGCCTAGACTCTATGCAGTTTTCCACTCACTCCACTTTTGCCTAGGTACGATGCTAGTAACATCTAATTCCGTAGCTTAGAATCTATGCAGTTTTCCACTCAGTCCATTTATGCCTAGGTACGATGCTAGTAATATCCAATTCTGTAGCCTAGAATCTATGCAGTTTTCCACTCACTTCACTTATGCCTAGGTACAATGCTAGTAATATCCAATTTTGTAGCCTAGAATCTATGCAGTTTTCCACTCACTTCACTTATGCCTAGGTACGATGCTAGTAACATTTAATTCTGTAGCCTAGAATCTGCAGTTTTCCACTTACGCCTAGGTACGATGCTAGTAATATCCAATTTTGTAGCCTAGAATCTATGCAGTTTTCCACTTACTCCACTTATGCCTAGGTACGATGCTAGTAATATCCAATTCTGTAGCCTAGAATCTATGCAGTTTCCACTCACTATGACTCACTTCACTAATACCTAGAACGATGCTAATAGTTGAAAAAAAATTGATCAACTGTTTGAGAAAGTTAACATGTGCAAAAAGAATTGCCAGGCCCTTTGATTACAGGAAATTTACTGCAATTGTCTTGCGAATTATTTAACGAACAAGACATGAATGTCACCGTCCCCGTTATTTAATTATAAAATACTCATGTTAAAATAATACATGGAACATCTGCAAACAATTGAATTAATATGTACTCTATGTGGGTACAACTCATCATGAAGTGATTTCCCTTAATCTGATAACTGAAAACATTCATTGACCCAAGTCCAAAATAGAGTACACAAGCGCAACCAAACTGTCTCATACATGCTCAAGAAACTGCATTCATAAATCTGAGTAAATCTTGATGTACCTTTAATAACATCTTGACAATCTAAGCTAATTATTTATTCTGAGCATGCTCAGTTGTTCTCTCAGTGGTGTTGGGAGAGGTAGTTTTGGGTGAAAATCATGAAAAAGGCCCACCCCAAAAAATTACGTGCATATTCGGCGGAGACTTGCTCATTAACCTGACAAGTTTCATCAATATGTGCTGCAGAAAATGTTAAGAGACGTCACAGACGGAAACTGGAAATAAGAATTATGTTAATAGTCTACTTTTCCGGCTGCGCCTGAAATGGGGACTAACAAACAGTGTTAACCAAGGGACCTCCCTCCCCAAACCTGCTTATTGCATCACTATCTGTAACGTTTGCAAAAATATGAATGGATAATGAGATAATACTGTACCAAGATGTTTGTGGAGCGAGGTATAGTGAAGGTAATCTCACACGAGTTGGTAGAGACCCCACCCCCAATCCAAATACAGAGACTATGTATGTCATATGCAGGTTTTAATGGTAATATAAAAAGTCACAGGGCAGTGACAACAAATATAACAATAGTATAGTTGAGTATATTTCTAATTTATTAGGTGATGTTGCTGATTAAATAAACTTATTACAAAAACAAAAGTAAACATTTAAATGAAAGTTGAATGTCTTCAAGTCTCCTATTCCAAACCTAGACCCATATTGATTCCTTGAACTAGCATGATAATAACAGGTTGCCAGGCAACCAGGTAACGCACCCAATCCAGAAGCTGTCCATAGAGAACATGTGGTCTTTCCCATCTGAGAAGAATGGTTAAAGAAAAATTGAAAGAGGTATTTTAACATAGGTGAAGACTAGTTGTCTAATAGCGAAGAAGACTGAAGCCAATTCAACACATGTTCATTGACTGAAATGCCAGATACAAGTGTTCTCACATATCCATGTGACTATTAGTGCAAGTAAAAATTGCTAGAACACGATTAAAAATCATTAGAACACCATTAAACATCATTAGAACACCATTAAACATCATTAGAACACCATTCAAACATCATTTAGAACACTATTAAACATCATTAGAACACCATTAAACATCATTAGAACACCATTAAAAA